TTTTCTTCTGTCGCTCGCTCTCGTGTGTGTGTATATATAATACACACATACAAAATTGAACAATCGTTTCTCGTGTTAAATTTGTGTGCTTATATTGTATTAATATTGTACAAATGATATCCAAATTTTACAGAAATGTGCTACAAAAACCTTTTGGAAACGAAAATTACTTAAAACTACAATTGTAGCTTTAAATTATAATAATATAAATAAATATAACATATATATATATATATATATATATAATGTGTGTGTGTGTGTGTGTGTATATATATATATATTTTATTGCAACGGACTCAGCGGCTTTATAAAGTGAATGCTTTCTGGATTTAAACTACAATTTAAAAACAATATTTTCCAGTGTCATCACAGTTGAGTAAACTAAACTGTGATGTTATTCTGTTTTTAAGATTTTGTGCATCTCAATAAAGATTACTTACGCTATTATCTGTATTTGCTGGTGTTCTCTTGAAAGGACTCTTCTATAGAAGGTGCTTCTGACTTTTTTGTCGATTTTTTTTTTTGTTTAGGATGAATAAGAATGCAATCATATTTTCAGATAAATACGATGACTCGACAGCAGCAACAACAGGCAGAGGAAACGAAACGTCAAGCAGAAGAACTAAATGCTATTCAGCAGCGCCTTAGTCGTGTTACTCAAGAACTAGGAGAATCAAAAATGTTATGTAACAAAAAGAATGAAGAGTTGGCGAAGATTACAGAGGATTTGGGAGCTAAGGAAGCAATGTTGACTGATGCTAGAAACAAAGAATTCCAGGTTTGTTACTTTAGATTATTAAAATTAATGTAATGAGAACGATTTGTGCGTGGTCGATTATCAATTATGTTGTTTTACAGGGAAATGGTATAACGAACGTTGATTAAATAAAAATTTCAGTTTTACGAAATTATTTTCAGGATACTGCCAATTCACAAGTATTTGTAAAATAATATAATTTTAACAAAATTCGAAGATTCATTATTACAGTGTGCACAATTAATAACAGAGTTGTTTTACGAATATTTCATTCCAGACTCTTCAGAAAGAAAGTTAGCAGTTTTCGAAAATTCATAGGTTTTTAATAAAAATCGAATCCTAAGATCAATTTAAGAACAGGACATAGCGTAACACTCTGTGACCACAGTCACACGTGGGGCATTTGTTCCACAAAGGCTCCACAACATGAGTCGCTTCACGAGCCTATCTCGCCTCCGCACCGACTTAGGTGCCAGGTTTTTGCGTACGCACGAGTTTTCCCACACATGTTAAAACCAACCATTGCGTGACAGAGCGCTGGCTCCCCCCATGTGACCGCCGCTCTGCCACATAGTAGATTCTCGGAAGTTCTCAAATAACCGAGGGGCGCCTCTCGCGCTCTCGTCCTCTATTCAAACCTATTTCTCTCCCTCTCTCTCTCCCTACCTTCCTCCCTCTTTCTCTTTCCCTCCCACTTTCTCTCTCTCCCTCCCACTTTCTCTCTCTCCCTCCCACTTTCTCTCTCTCCCTCCC